TTATCCGAGAATGAATTGCAGGTAGCTATAGTTTCTAATTGCACTTTCAAAACGATTAATGCAGTTTAAGTAATTAACAAAGTAGGATATATATATATATATATAGCATTAATAAATTTGGTTGTCTACTAACATCCAATTCCACCATAGCCTAAAATAGAGAATGTATTATATATATATAAATAAAAAAATTCTATACATTATATCATACCTTGACAGCCCTGTCCGAGTGATTCATAACCGGCCATGCATTTGCAACCTCCAGAAGGTAAAGTCCAATTGCCATCGCCTTTACAAAGAAGTCTCGGCGTGTCCACAATGGCGGCATTGGCAACACACTGTCCTTCAGCAGGCACTATAGCAGTCACTTCTTTTCCGGTAGGTGTAGAGGGAAAATATGCAAAATTCCTAGTTACGTTGGGGCAGGTAACGTAATATATCTTAATAGCAATCAGAGACAAACAAGCACCTTGGTCTCTAAATGCGAAATAAACGCCTTTCTTTGTAATCGGTATACTTCTGGTTTCGGTGTTAATGATCACTTCGCTAGTTGAAGTAAATCTTCCTTCGTCGGCTGCTATCCTGTCGATGAGTTTATAAGATTCTGGTTCCCATGGTGGGGGCTCTTTTGTGGCCGCATCAAATTCGTAATATAAAAGAGAAAAAGTCTCCTTGCACGACAGAGCCATACCGGGAAATAGATTACAGTCTCTCATGCTAAATTTCACTTCAATATACATTCTATTTGCTTCACCCCGCTCGATGAATGGTGTCCACAGCCAATTGTTGACGTTTGTGTACGCCACGTCACAAACCACGTACGATCTCCAGTTGATACCTATTTGAAAGTTGGTAAAGCTTTCCTCGACCCACTGAAAGAGAAAATTAACAAAATGTTAGGTTTTCTACCGTTAAAATTTCTACACAAATCCGCCTATTATAAATCTTACACAAGTTCTTTTTTCTGTGGAGGTTGTTTTTTTTAATACAGATTTCCCCCTCCTATCAATGAATATAGTTTAATTGCATTCGTTTTAAATGGCACGCCTAATATAATTTATTTGATTAGAAAGAAACCGACCACTTACAGATTAGATATCTCAATGACAGTTATACCAATTTATTTTTCCTTTTGACTCAGCGCTATATTATAAGGATTAAACACACTGAAGGAATTACTTCCACTACTTAAATCTGGTTCTCATTAAATCTAAACATAAATTATAGACATATTTTCTGTTAGTTTTAGATCAAGTAGCCATTAAGTTCTCAATAATTAAACAAATTTGAATTGCAAAAATAATTAAAATTCCAGAAGAAATATCGACAAGAAAACAAAATAAAATAAATATATAATGAACTTTTAATCGTTCATTCCTTATCAAAATTCGATTTTTGAAGAAACAAAATCGACATGATCGATCGCAGGAGTAACAGAACACCGTAACGACACTAATATATTAACTGTTCTATAAAAAATTCATACAAACTACCGTATGTAGACCTAGAAATGTAATGGAAAACAAAGTATTTCTGGTTAAAGTTATAATTTTCTTCTAACAAAATATTCTTAGAATAACTTGAGCATTTTTCCTGTATAAAATTACAGATAAAAAATACGTCTGTAGGGCCTAATAACTTTACCTACATATCGTACTTGCTTCTAGCTCCAATGGAATAATAAATCAATACATTTTCCAGTAAATATATATATATTAATCTACGATTCTTATTCACCGAGGGTTTCGTAAGTCGTATCAATCAATAATCAATTGTTATTCGCCATAGCTAAGCTGGGAATTAGTATGCAGAACAAACACACATAAGCTGGTCTGATACAAAGTATTAATAAATGATTGAGTACATTAAAAGAAACGTTGGCTTTTATTAATATCAATAAATATATAGAGAGATAAACGTGGATGCACCTGAATAAACGTCGAATGGAATTCAAAAAATACAAATGTCTTGAGAGATATAAATAAATGAATGAAAATGACTCTAATTTTAATTGAAATGAATATAGTAAGAATCATATAGAATTTCCTCGGGTTAACGCTAGAAAGAATAAACAATGGCGATAGTATCATGACTAATCAGATGATATCAACGTCAATGATTACCAAATGTAAGATTGTTTGGATAAGATGAAGAGGAAGAAGTTGATGGAAGAAGTTAAAAACAGCGAATTAGATACACCAACTGCTGCATGCGGACTATAATTGTAGTTTGCCACACCATAATTACCTAATGATACTTAATTATACAGTCGGTAAGATCTTAAAAAAAAAAGTTGCTTACGTAAAACTCTTATCAGAATTTTTCGACTCGAGAAATAAAATTGTTAGGATGAAACTAGTTGTTATAATAAGTTGCGATCGAGACAGCTACCGAATTACTCTTAAATACATTACCGAACGATGGAACGTTTTTTGAAGGGGAGAGAAAAAAAAAACCTAATTTGCCTTCGTTTTATATTAAAAGTAGGCCTATGGAGCGTGTCAAAAAATTTTTTAAATATTCTCGATTAATCGTAAATCTACGGGGAATCCTTGTTTGAGGGCATTAAAAGAGGTTGTCGACAATTAATGTTAACCTGAAACATCAGGAAAATTAGCATCAGTACGATATGTTAATACGACTTATCATGTAACTAAATAAATCAACAACTCGGTGAGAATCGATTAAATTCTAATAATTATGAGATAGTACAAGATAAGTGTCTACAACGCTCTTTTCTTCTGTAATTCTTTGCAGATTTTTTTTTTTCCTTTGGTAGAGGCGAGAACGTCTTCATTGGTTGCCTTTAATTGCAAAAGTCAGCAACGTCTTTTTTTCTCTTTTTTTCCAACCCACAAGCAACTAATCGGATGGAAACTGTGGAATTCAAAGTTTGCCCAAAAGACTTTCACTATTCCTTGGGACCTAATTAATTTTAATTGCAACATCGATTAAACATTCCACGGAGCAGAACGACAGCCTCGAGCTATGCCATAAAAAAAAGAAAGAAAAACTCGCATTCTTGGATATTTCAATCAATATATTTCTCTTGTTGAAACAATTTCTTGGTTATCTACTAGATGGGGTCCAAAAAGACATACAGTGTATTTATCTCATTTAAGAACCCACCCACCAGTCCTCACGTGTTGGGGCCGCCCGGCGAGTTGACCCTGACCCCATGGGGTACATCCATTCCCAAGTTATAAGACTTTGAAGAATTCTTGACTCTTGAATGGATTTGATAAAAGCGCTGAAGCGTTGAATGTGTTTGCATCGAAGTAGCGATGTGTGAAATGAACGGGTCAATATGCAATTAAAGTATGACAGTAGAATGTGTGGATTACGAAGGGCGATTAATTAACGCTCGGCATTCCCTTCGCTGATTGGCCGATCAGTAGATCAGTAACAAGTGGATAAGCTAATATTACGGATATTTAAAGCCTATTAAAAGATTTAAAACGTGCCAAATTAAAGAAAATTAATCTCGATTAAAGTAAGTTTCTAATTTCTAAGAATGGCAATCATATAAATGCGATTTTCGATTCTTAAATAGTATAATATTAACGTATCAAAGTAATAATTAAACTCTTAAACCCCTTTTGTAAAAGTTTTAAATATTTTAATTAATAATTTAAATGTATAGAGTACATTTAACATTATCATGTCACAAATCATGGTATCTAGCAAAATATTCATTTGTTCTTAGCTTCATTGCAGGGATATTTATTTATAAACATCTCTGTCTGGCATTTTGTTTTATTATATAAATAGGAAAATGCGTGTTATTATAGTCGTGACGTAAAAAAAATCGGTGTATAAACAAATACAGAAAGTAACTCGCGGATCCTCTTTTAGAAAACTTTTTTTTAAAAAAAAAACTTAAAACTGTTTATTTGCAATAAGAAAAATATTGAATGTTGTTGGGTGGTTATCGACATCGTAGCATGTGTTGTAACAATAGACATCCGCCAGCAGGAAGGTATCAGACTTCCCGAAAGAAAAATATCAGCCAGGTAACCACTGTCATATCTACCTGATCAATTGGTGCCTAGTCGTTGGGTCTCCCCGAACCCCAAGTCGACCGGAAGAGAATCAGAACTGGGCTGCAAATTTCCGTTTTGATCTGACCAGCATACAGATAAGGTTCGGACTTTTCCCGTCAGTAATGAATTTTCAGCTGTAACACTTCCTCCATTGATCACCTCCTGTCACGTCGGGGCGATGCGCCCCCCGGGCCCCGTTCCCTCGATCACCGTTACATTCATCAACCTTTTGCAAAAATCGCCCCCCTCCCCCCAAAAAAGTACGAATTCTGCACGTGTTTCGTAGCATTATACACTATTATTGGCTTAATTAAAATATTGTTGGTACCTAACGAGTTTTTCCTAGTTTACTGACAGTTTGAAAGACGTATTGACATTATTAATAAACACACTAATTAGGAATCTTTCGCCGTTGATATATACAAATTTGTTTTTCTCGTAATCGAATTTCTCATCCGACGTTAAAATAACGGGAATAATTAAAATTGAATTTGTACTTTTATCGATCCATAAATTACTTTGTAAAATATATTGTTACGTCAGTGAGCGAGCTGTATTATAATTGGCTAACGGAAAAATTTCAAATTTTATTCTTACTTAAGAGGAATTAAGGCGGGTTTCTACTTACCCCAGGCGTCCTAGATTGTGGTCCGTAAGGATACCTGGTCCAGTCGAGGGAGCTTTCTTGAGTCGTGTCCAACAACACCACTGAAATAAATCTACAATTAGCAATTTAATGAATTCGGTTAAAATAACAAGACAAAAGTCGTTAATATACAATCTAAAGAGATGGTCGCTTGTTATACAATGTTTCCACCGTCTCCATGACGACTATCAATAAACACGTGATCCGCAATCCCCTTCCGGCTTGGCTGAGAGCCACTTCCGTTATCAATTAATGTGGATGATTACTTCTATTGAGATACTACTCGATTGTTTATGGAAATTGTCTTTAAATTGAGTCAAATTTAGTAGCGGTATATTTATAAGCACGTGTAGTTCGTTTTATTTTTATTTTATTTTATTTTTTATTTTACTTTTTGGAAACACTAAATTTAAGAAATTGGCATTATGATCTCGAGATTTTCGAAAGCGTTTGGAGAAAGATGAGATCTTGAGAGGGGAAAGAACTTTACCATTTCCTTCCCCAATTCGATTACTTAGGATTCGTTTGCAAACAGAGCACGAAAAGCAAAGATGGAATGTTTTTACGAATCGAATCTTAAGTATTTTTTCCTGTAACGGATACAAAGTTCTATTTGGATTACTTAAATGAATCGGAGAGGAAAAAAGAAATTTTTTTTAATATATTTTTTCCCCCTTGAATAGTAAAATTAGGAAACGAGAAATGCCTTTTACATTGTGATTCGTAAAATAAGTCTACCTCGGGCGAGTCACTCAGTCAATTAGATCGTATAAAAACCTATCAGAACTAAGAATTATAATGAAAATATATCTTTTTTTGTTTTTTATTTTTTAATCCAGTTACAGATTGCTTTCGATTAATCGATCATTTATAGATCTTTCACATACGAAAAATCGTTTAATAACTTTTTTCTTCTGAAAACGTTATTTAGAAAGGAAAAAACAAAAAAAAAAAGACTTTATTTCGGAAATAATAATAATAGTAACAGTAAAATTTTGTAAATAAACAATAATGATGAAAGCAAAATGGATGCTGTAAAGGATTATAATTAATAATTATCGCCATCTAGTTAAATAATAACTGTAAAGTATAATTACATACAGTTAATTGTTAACTGTATTATATAAAGACTTTTTTAAATATGTAAATAAAACTAATTAGGCTATATTTATTCAGTTTGTAAAAATAAAAGTCGAATCGAACCAACGAGAAATGGTGTAAAAATTTCTCCAATTTCTCGGAATATAAATCCCACTTGTCATATATAAAACAGAAATTAGATAAAGATCTTCAATAAAGATAAAAGTGCATAATAAAATAACATTCGATCCCTTCAAAATCATATAAAATTTATGCACTTTCAATAACTTTTACTCGCATAATAGCATATAAGCTAATCTAATATACGGTTATGAATATTAGCGAGGTTGCGGTGGAAGTTTTCGTCTGTAAAACGTGAACGTCGAACGTCGAGCGCCTCTATCTTCTAAGNTTAGTATTATTACGCATGGATGAAGATCGATCTTAACAAATTTTATTTTATTTTTTTTTTTACATTTCACGCTTGATAAATATTTAAATTTAATGTAATTCAAGAAGCTTACGAGATGATATTTTGTTAAATATAGACTATAAAGATGTTGATATTTTTTTCTTTCACGTTGTAAATAAAATAATTAACGAATGCTTACGTTCAATAACCCTATAATTTCGATGTTTTTTTTTCTTTAATATATAAAATTATCTATAGGTCTATATCTGTGTTAAACTATATGACTAGCTTAACTATAAATTAAATTATATTAGTTTAATTATTGTAGCAGAAACATGCCGCTTGTAATTATCTCGTGTGATGATTTTATCAGTAATTCTCATTTAGTTTAAACTCTATTCGAAATCATTAAGTAATGACATTGGTCATAGATAGTGATTATGAATAAATAAAACAAAGACAGAAAAAAATTGAACATCGTCGATTAAGCGAAAACTACGTGAAAGGAATTTTCTAATTGAACAAAAGTATAGAAGATGACGTGATATTTATTACACGTCATCTTCTCTAGAGATAAAAATAATCAGGAAAAAGGAACAGCCATAAATTCTTAGACTATTAAATAACGATCGCATGTGTTTATTGATATCAAACAATATATATTAACTTGAAGCGGATCTATTTGTAGATATATATATATATATATGGCTGTGAATAAGTATTTTAATATATAATAATTACAGAATTTATGGAGATGTTCGTATTAGACAGCATTTATAGAAAAGCGTGTTACAAAGCAATTAATATGCAACTGAAAACACTAATTTAAGGAAAGGAAATATAAATAATTAAATAGTAATTACTTTTTGAAAATCGAATTTTTTAATTTTTTAAAAGTCCAAAAATAAAATTAACGTTTTCCATGAAGAAAGTTAATCAATCGTTCATTATTGCTATCTTCGTAATCAACTTATTATCTCATTTACTTGATGAAAAGTAAAATTTCTCTTAATTATGAGTTCTATTTTAAGAGAAATTACAAATGGAATATTAATGATTGAGCTTTATTGCTATTCTAAATTTAATCACAGACTAAAATAATTTATTCAATTATTAATTAAATTCTTTTTATAAACTCAATTAAGATTATTATGATTTTTATTCGAATTTATCAAAAATTCTGTAAAAAATCCACTGGTTTTTTTCCACTTAATTATTAAGAAAATAAGGGAATAAAATGATATACAGTATATCTTTCCTTCTTTGTTTTATAAACTGAAAATATCTACTTGGGAAAACATGATGATAAAAGGATACTCAATTTTATTGTTATAAAGCTAACAATAAAATTATTTTAATGTGTTCCTCTAAAAAAAAAAGGGAAGAAAACAAGAATTATAATGGAGAAAATACCAGTTTAATAATCTCTTAATCCGATATTTAGTTATTGATTCATTGTAAGTGGAAGCAAAACATTGTTATATGCTTTATAATTCTGTATATATATATATATCTTTTAATAATATAAATTATCTAAATAACTTTCATTTGTTTGAATATGTCTTGTATGGAGAAGACATTGAAGATTTCTTGTAATTCTATTCAGATAATCAGATATTTTGGTTGCTTTTTAAACTGACTTTTAAAAATAAATCCATTTAAAAAGCTTAAAACAAATCAGTAGCAGCTTGTTCTTTTTTTTTAAAACTAAATATAAATTGAAATAAAATGTTATAACGCTAATTATATTAATTTGCATGTATAATAATCATTTAATTATATACACGAAAATAATGATACTAAATGCAATATTATATACTGCTTTTCTTTGATAAAAAATCATTATTTACATAGAGAAAGATTGTTGATACTTTAATTTTACAATAAAACTCGAAGAAAATAAAAATGTATTAGTTTAATTTCGAATTTAAATTTGTAATAAGTTGCTATATTGCTGTACCTTTTCCTTCTAACCTAAAAATTAAACACGTAGATGAGATCATGCGAAGAACTTCATAATTGGCTACATTCTACAGAAAAAAAAAATCAATAAACTAATTACATTTACAACCAAAAATTACTTTAATGTTTAGTTAGATGATTATTTTTGCTTTTAATAGAATAAGACTAATCCAAAACGGTAGTAATTTGTAACATTTGAATAAAAGAGCGTGAAGTAATATGCCTATAAATTTGCACATTAATCAAATTTATCCGAGAATGAATTGCAGGTAGCTATAGTTTCTAATTGCACTTTCAAAACGATTAATGCAGTTTAAGTAATTAACAAAGTAGGATATATATATATATATATAGCATTAATAAATTTGGTTGTCTACTAACATCCAATTCCACCATAGCCTAAAATAGAGAATGTATAAAAAAGAAAAGAAACTTTTAAATAATATGTATGCTTAATAAATACTATTAGAAATTAGAAAATTAAATGATTTATTATTCTAATTAACCATTGAAACTTGTGAATTTAATGTAAGTGGAAGAGGAAAATCTGATTCGGTTTACTGTTACCTCGAAAGTAAGCATAATAATCATTACAAGGCCAACCGATTATCATTATCCTTCAATTTTCCTATACCGTTTTAATTCAAAATTTCCGTTGTTGCCTATCCGTTAACGCTCAATAGTTTTATTAATGAGGGTCGTGATGTTAGTTGCTATATCTAGTATTAAATATTACATATATATATATACATTCTTTAAGTATATACGTGTTTAAAATTCAATTTAAAAGTTTAATAAATCTTACAAGTCTACTTGTATAGTTGATCGTAAT